GTGTGTGTGTGTGTGTGTGTGTGTGTGTGTGTGTGTGTGTGTGTGTGTGTGTGTGTGTGTGTGTGTGTGTGTGTGTTCGCTGCACTGACCTTGTATGATGCCGGGTACTCGGGCGAATAATATTCGTCATAACTGACTCTATGGCGGGTACTCACCTGGACCGTTACTCTGCACGCGTAGTTGCTGACTTCGTTACATGCATTAAACGAGAAAAAGATTGCAACCGCATATCATTGGAGCTTCGTCACAACATAATGGGCGCATATGACAACCTTACATATGCGCCTTGGCCACGGTGTAAGCATAAGTTAAGTGCTGACACTCGCCGTTCCACGTAAGGAGAGGGCACGGGCATATTGTGTTCGTCGCTGAACTTGAGCCGCCACGAATAGTTTCAGTCTCTAGCTGAGATGACGCTACTGTATGTGGAGCCAGGTCTTCGCACGGCCGGCGTTTATTCTGGAATTCACGCTGAAAAGATGGTCTTCCTGAAAGCTTTCATTGTGTGCATTGATAGATTGATATGTGCGGTTTAACGTCCGAGAACCACCATATCAGACGCCGTAGTGGAGGGATGCGGAAATTTTGACCACCTGGGGTTTTTTAACGTGCACCCAAATATGAACACACAGGTCTACAGCATTTCCGCCTCCATCGGAAATGCATCCGCCGCAGCCGGGATTCGATCCCGCCTTACCGAGACCTTAGCCACTGGACCACCGCGGCGGGGCAGCTTTGTGTGCATGGTCGTCGGCAGGAGTTTCCCTTAGGGGTGCAAAAATGTTTTGCATCGCGGCTGGGAAAGGGGGAAGCACTGGTATAGGTTGAGTGAGTGCAAGTGCTGGTCAAGCTTGAGGTGTAGGCAAGTGCCCCTTTTCCACCCTGATGACGCCAATGTTTGTGTGCATGGGACTTTGTGGTTTATAAACATGTTGTCGTGTGCCTGTGAGCACTTCCAGTGCATTTGTTTTTGTCGGTTCACGCATTGTGATTCAGTGCACGCATACCTCAATGCTGCAAACTACTACGAGTGCGCGTCAGCGGTCATGTCGCTGGCTTCCGCTCAATATTGGCAAGTAATGTTTTGTCCCAAACGACAAGTCAGAGTGTCGGAGTTGTACGAAATGTGTGGTGCTTTTCAAGGCTCCGCGTGAACCAGAGCGCTTGAATAAGTGGAGACGGACAATTATGACAGCTGACAGGGCCTTGCATGCAGTCTACTCAGCATGTGTGCTCGAAGCATTTTTAGAATGAAAAAAGCGATCGCTGCCACATATATTTCAGAATACGGGAGAAACGCTCTCTTGCGCGCACCAAAGAAACCTACGCTCACTTCGGATGCTGTTCCTGCCATTTTACCAAGGCTGCCCAAAATGCCTCACCATACATTAAAAAACCAGGAGAGCAGCGCGAATACAGCTTTCTCTACTGCTCACTTCTCGGAAGCGACGGGGGCAAAGAGCTTAACCTGCATATGAAGAGCTGCCACGATTGCTGAAAGTACACCGAATTTCTTGTGCGTGGAGACAGCTACTCATCAGCATGGCAGTGATGTAGAGTCAACTGGCACGCATGCAGAAGGTAGCGCTTCTACTTCAGCAGCAACGGGCCTTCTTCACGGGAGGAGGATGCTTGTCAACACGACACCGATAGTGTGGGCGTATACGCTACCGACTCAGTTCCTCATCAGGCTGGAAAAGTAATTTCTTGTATTATGTTCAGATGCTATTTTTAGCTGTCTTATATGTGGCTATTGGACCAATAAAAGTAAATGTTGTAGAATAACCAGTTAAAAATATTTGTGCATATCATTTCTGCATTGCAGCCGTATTTTTTTTAAGTTCGCTGTATTCGCGCGACTATAATTTGTTTGCCATGATTGATGTCGCCATGCCACATTTTCGCGTTTTTGGGTGTCTAGCATTTCATCATCATCGTCTTTCAACAATGCAGCTGCACTTCCGACAACGGTATACTTTCGGCACAACATCGTTTATTATGGCGAAAGCCTTATATAAACATAGATACCTCATCAAAATCGGTGTTGGTGGCGTAAGAAACGAGCTGCACAAAATATACTTCTTTAATTATTGCCTTCGCTTTCACGGTCCGGTATAAGCATTTCATAGAGTCGAAGTTCGCGTGATTTAGTAAATTAGCGCAAACTATGGCTGATGGCAGTGGCCTGACTGTCCCGACATGGGTATGGTGCGTTTAAACCCAGAGTCGACATTCGGGACCCATGAAGTTCTTCCCACCATAGCATGCTGCTTACACTGCCAAAGACAGAAATCGAATCATTTGCGTTACGCTAACAGCAAGACTGGCAAGGGTAGCATGTCGAATTAATTTCTTAGTAAACGCGCATAAGTATGGTGATACAATTGCCGACACACACACACACACACACACACACACACACACACAACCACGCACACACACACAACCACGCACGCGCACACACACACACACACACACACACACACTTACACACACACACGCACGCACTCACATACATGCACAAATACAGGCATGGCACGCAGGCTATCGCCTTCCTAAAAGCTAGCGTCGCACGCTGTATTCCGTGCCGACCAGTTGTACCCTCGTGATCTCCGACGACAGTGCATCTCTGGCCGACTGGGATGGTCCTATGCCAACTCCTGACGCTGGTCCCCGACGACGACGACAGCGTAGCTCTGGCCGACTAGATTACCCCTACGCCATATCCTGTCACCGACAAGAGCTCTCGCCAGTGGTGCCCCGTCCTCGGACTCCTGCGACCGTCTTCATCTTTCCTGTCTTCTCCTCACTTCCGACATTCGCTGTCCCAGCGCCTCGCTCTATTCTTCTTCTAATTCCATCTCTTCACCTTTTAACTATCCTTTAAATCCCTTCTCTCCAACCTTCCCTCGTGAGCTACTGTTGAGGTGTCCTCCCCCTGAGCGGCAGTTATGGGGCTCACTTTTCTCTTCTTTTCATTTTAAAATCACTTCCCCCTAAAAGCTAGCGTGCCATTGCTTTCAAGCTGCTATCCTTACAAATGTTCTCTCATGAACAACGCTGGTTTTTTGTTCAAAACCATAGATGCTGACACCACCGACGTTGCCGACACCGTAATTTCAGCAAAACGAGCTCTTTGGTGATGTTGCGTCAAAATGCGAGCGCTCTCAAGGTCATCGTTTGCTGCTGTTGGAGCATTTATATTACAAAAACACTGTCAGCGACTAAGCTGCATATAAATCACAAATCAGTTTTGTTACAACAGAGTAACAAACAAGCGAAGCCCCGCAGCAATAACCTTCAACACGCGGATAGGAGTCGCTCCCCAGAGGGCCATAGAGTAAAATATAAAAAGTTAAGAAGGACACTCCCTTAGGCCCTTGCGACTGATTTGGGTTCGCAGCTCTCGAAACAGTCGTTGGGAATATTCGCAGCCTCATGGATAAACTACAGCCAAAAATGATGTCTTGGAGGCTGTTTTCTAGTAATTAGGAATATTTTAAAGCCTCTGAGACGGCTTCTACGAGCGTGATCGTCTCTGAGGCCATACATAAAATCTTTTAGTGCGTTGTTTGCATGCATCGATTAGCTTCGTATCAGCTGCACCGCCAGGGCGGCAAGCACATGATGTCACTGTGTGTCTATGAAACATTTCAAATTGACCATGAGAATTGTTGGGGGAGCGACAACTTTTACTTTCAAATGTGTGTGTGTGTGACAGGGGGGGGGGGGTCGCTGACATCTCCTGTAAGGTTGTTTGCGCCGCGGGGCGTACGTGTTTCACACATACGCTGCATTTAGGGGGTCACAACTACTGAGCAGGAGATGTGCTCGCGAGCATTTATCACCGCCACCATCATCATGGTTAAAACGGTGGTGCCTGAAATGACGCCTGGCCTAAAGCCTTGGTCGCGGCATGGTAGTGATGACCGGAGGTTTCGGGCGGTTGGCGGTTGGCGAGAACGGTTGTCTCTCGTGGTGGGCCCACCGGTGCAAGGCACAGCAGGCCGTCTGTTGTGGGTCCTCGAGCGTTGGTGATGCCGCCTTGTGTTTGTTGTGTTGTTGAGTGTTGTTTAATATGGAGTAAGGATATTTACCGTGTTCATCACAAAAGATGTATAATTATTCAGCTGTCAATATTGTTGTTCTAAAAGCAGTTAAATAAATGTGTGTTGTTTGGTTCGTTCCGACCACGTCAACTGTGTCTAATCAATATAAGAGTGTGGCATTCTCCCCACGCGAGACCACACACTGGCGCCCAACGGGGGGCTCTTGGAGCATCAGACGTCAGTTTTCGCGGTTCGGAATGACCATTTTTCAAAGCTGGAGTAAAATAGGCCTATGGGGACTTACACGGCTAGCGTCGGTTTTGCGCTTTGTTGAGAGCGAGGAGATCGGTTGTTGTGACGTGTTTGAACTTGTAGGCACGTTGAGTTTTTTTCCCCTGCTCGCAACTTTTTTTTGTGTGTGTGCGGTTGGTTTTCGAAAACCTTGTTGAGTTGGGACGAGATTCATGCGGTCTTCATCCTGAGGTGAGCAAAGCTTATAGCAAGAGCATTGTAGGCCAATCCCGAAGTGCGAAAGCCTCGTGAAAGGTCTGATTTTCTGTAAATAGCTTCTTTTATCTCTATTTGGGCTCAAGGAGTCGGGCGTCGTTGCTGTCTTGCTTTGCGGCTCGACGCCGGGGCGTCATGACACCGTCCGAGACGGTGCACGCCGATCACTCTAAGCTGCTGTGTATGGCGAGCGAGTAGAGCCATCTTACAGAGTGGACGTCTCCTTGCGGCTGCCTCTTCTGCGCCCAGACTGGGTGCTGCCGGGTGGATGACAGTTGCCGTCGAGGGACACATTAGGCCTAAGGCTCAGCGCAGCCGCCTGTCGCACGTTGCACACTTCCCTTACTTTTTTTATTGTGCGATCCAGGAGTTTAGAAAAGTGACCTTTATTTTATTTTGCTGGGTGTCTCAGCAGCAGTCGATGTATTTGCTAGCAGTACTCACCATTGTACCACGTGGGCGATGAGCCCAAATCTCCGTTCTTTTTGGCATACTGCACTGTTCCTTCGAGTGTACGCAGCGAGAGTGACATAACCCGTGGCTGGCTGTGTTCTGCACATCGTCAGCGTCGCTGGACAGAAAAGCGGTCGTGAGATCGGGCGATGGACATGCCTGAGACCTGTGCAACTGCCTACAATCTGGAGCACTCATCAGTGCTGGTCGCAACCAGAATACGTGTTGGCACGAGTGACGGTTCCTCGCCCCGACGGCAACGTTGCGTTGTGGGACTGGTACTGGGGTGAAGTCATCAAGCCGGACAGTGCAGCAGTGTCGACCGGCAGTGGTGTCATGGCGCACATAGATTCTTTAGGTACATACAAGTCATATTTTGTTAGATCTTGTGTAGCTGATTCTTTCGTGTTTTTTCGGGGGATATGGTTTTAATTAGGGTTGGGGGATTTGCTGGTGCTGACATCTCTTGCAAAGCTCTTTGCACCACGTGGCGCACGTATCTCGCACCTTTTGGGGGGCAAGCGAGCCCTTCGGGGTGCAGGATAGCTAGTAACGAGGAAAACAATTAGGGAGACTCTTCAACAGGTGTTATGGACAGATACGATTCCAAAGTGGCACCAATGTCTAAGATAGGTAGAGTCAGGGGCATAAATAGACGCAGCCACGAGCGCCGAGCCCATTAGACATAGGGTATATTAACATGCAGGGTGGTAGGAACAGGCTTAAGTGGGAAGAGATAGAAGAACAGCTAAGGGAAGAGAGGCCGATGGTATACGGTTTTGTAGAAACACATCTCAGGGACATGGAACAACCTCCGAACAATCCGGACTAGGCGTGGGAATATTGTCATAGAACAGAAGGCAGCAGAAAGGGGGGTGGTATTGGGGCATTCATTCATAAAAGTACAGACTGGCAAAGGGTCAAGCAGGAGTGCAGGGAACATTTATGGCTAAAAGGGAAAGTGGCAGGTCAAATGACACTCCTTGGTTTCGTGTACTTGTGGACGGGAGCAAAGGCCAGAGAGGAAAACCAGGCAATGGTAGAGTGTATATCAAAGGACATTCAGGAGTTAGGAAGAGAGTGCGAGATAATTATACTAGGAGACATGAATGCGCACATAGAAGATATAGATGGGTATACCGACCCGACAGGCAAAATGATCATGGATATGTGTGAAAGGCTTGATTTGATCATTTGCGACAGTACCAAGAAGTGTGAAGGGCAAATAACATGGGAGGTAGGAAGGCTGCAGACGACGATAGATTATGCACTGATGTCACATAGGATGTATGATAAGCTCAGGGGAATGCACATAGATGAAGGTGGCTCCAGAAGTCTGGGTAGTGATCACAAACGTATCACGCTAAGTTTTGGAAGAGCAGTGAAAGTGGGAAGGAGACAAGATGAGCAACAGCAGGAAAATTTTTATTCAGAAAGGCAAATTGAAATAGCCACTAAACAAATTGAGAAAATATTCACGGAGGATAATAAGACAGTGTGGACATACACGAATCTAATTAGACTCTTTGAGCTAGAGCTTGCTAAGACGCGTAACAAGACACCCCGGAAAAGAAGACAGAAACCCAAAAGTTGGTGGGATGAGGAAGTTAAGAGAGCCATAGCAAAACGTCAGGAAGCCTCTAGGGAACGCAGACATGCTAAGCAGCGGGGTGAACCGACAGATGATGTTGAAAGAAAATGGGAAACCTTTCTAAGCTGTAGAAGGGCTGCATCCCTTCTGATCAATGAAAAGATTAGAAGAAAGGGAGCTCAGTGGCTGGCAGAAGTACATAAAAAAAGATAGAAAGGCAGCTGCGAAATTTTGGAACCATCTAAACTCCCTAAGAAATGAGACGAGCCTAGAGCAGAAATTTATAACTACAACCCAAGGTGCCAGGCTAGAAGGGGACGAAGCTATTGAATATATAAGAACAAGGGTGACAGAAAAAATTTCAACAAAGAAGTACTTTATGCACCACAATAGACAAGGACGAATCAAGTGGTGCAATGGCTCTATTTTCACAACGAGAGTGGGAAAGGGCTGAGAAAAGGTTTCCTAGTAGTACATAAACAGGCCCAGATGGCATTCCAATTAGGCTGATAAAGACATTAGGTCCAAAGTCTAAGCAGTCTTTGAGAGAGGCAGTGAGCAAAATAATAATCGATGGTGAAGTTCCCGATGGATGGAAACTTAGCAGGATGAGCATGATCTATAAAGGAAAGGGGGACAAAGCTGACATAAACAACTACCGTCCTATAACAGTGACATCGATGGTCTACAGGCTGGCGATGCAGATTTCAAAGGAAAGACTGCAGGCATGGATAGAAGATGAGGGGGTGCTGGGGGAACTGCAGAATGGGTTTCGAAAACACAGGAGGTTGGAAGACAATCCGTTTTCACTGACGCAGTGCATCGAAATACCAGATAAGGAACACAGGCCCCTGTGGCTAGCATTCTTGGATATCAAGGGAGCGTACGATAGCGTGGTTCAAGAGGAATTTTGGGGAATACTGGACACACTAGGCGTGGAACATGTAGTCACTAATCTTTTAAAGGGTATCTATAAAGGTAACAAGGTAGGTATAAAGTGGGAACAACAGGTATCCAAGCCTGCAGAGGGAAAACGGGGGCTTAGGCAGGGGTGCCCCCTGTCACCCTTATTATTCATGATGTACCTACAAGGATTAGAGGCAAAATTAGAGGGAAGTGGGCTGGGCTTCAACCTCTGTTTAGTCAAACAAAGAAAACTCATTGATCAGGCACTACCAGCATTAATGTACGCAGATGATATAGTGCTAATGACCAACAACAAGGAAGTTTTGCAGAGATTGGTAGACATCTGCGGTAATGAGGGAGATAGGTTTGATTTCATATTCAGTAAGAAAAAATCAGCCGTCATGATTTTTAATGACAATGAAGGTATATGAGCTAAAAATACGAGAGGTCACGCTAGAGATAACAGATAAATACAAATATCTGGGCGTATGGATAAGCAATGGGGCCGAGTACCTGAGGGAACACGAAATATACGTGACGACTAAAATTAACAGGAATACCGCGTTAATTAAAAGCAGGCCACTGTGGAATTACAATACGTGTGATGTTGTGAGAGGAGTATGGAAAGAGGTTATGGTTCCTGGTCTGACGTTCGGCAATGCGGTCTTGTGCATGAGATCAGAAGTTCAAGCAAGATTAGAAATTAAGCAACGTGAAATCAGTTAGGCTTGCCTTAGGAGATCACAGGAATACACCAAATCAGGGAGTACAAGGTGATATGGGACGGACATCATTTGAGACAGCGAAGCTAGCAGCAAGATAAAACTTGAGAAGCGATTGAGAGAAATGAAGGAGGAGCGTTGGGCTAGGAAGGTTTTCAGCTACTTGTACATGAAGAATGTCGATACAAAATGGAGGAAGCGAACCAGGAAGTTGACTGGTAAATACTTAGAAAACAGCAGGTGACCAAACCAAAAAGAACTATCGGTTAAGAAGAAAGTGAAGGAAACGGAGACTGACATGTGGAAAATTGGCATGATTAAGAAGCCTTCACTAGAGATCTATCGAACTTTTAAGCAGGAAGTTGCCAAGGAAAGGATCTATGATAATACTCGGGGTAGTTCTCTACTGTTTGAGGCAAGGACGGGAGTACTGCGAACCAAGACATATCGGGCCAAATACGAAGAGGTAGACACAGTACGCAGTGCGTGTGGAGAGGAAGAAGAAACTGCCGAACACTTGACAATGTTCTCTAAAGGGCTTCACCCTATAGTTCAGGATGATGGCGCAGAGTTTTTCAAAGCACTGGGGTTTAGGGACCGAGAGGGCAAAATAGACTTTAAGCAAGTAGACCTAACTAGAAGGAGGTTATCTGATTGGTGGCTAAAGTCAAGGCACGAGTGAAAATTAAACTCTTCACTGCAAAGTACGAATCCTCGGACTCAATTTTAAGGAAAAAAAACAAATATAGTTTTGGGTTCATTAAGTTTTACGGCTTGGTGGCGCTAGCCACCGCCCGATCTAAAAGGTACAGCCATATTCATCCATCCATCCATCCATACGCCACATTTAGGGGGTCACAACTACCGAGAGGTAGGTGGCGTTGTGCTCGCGAGCGTTTAACACCACCAACATCTTCATGGTAAGAACGGTACAGCCTGCAGTGGCTTCTCGCGCAAAGCCTTGGTGGCGGCACGGGAGAGATGAGCGATGCTCTTTGGTGGGTGGCGGTTGGCGCAAACGGTTGTCTGTCGCAGTGAGTCTCGAAGCGCGACCCCGCAGGCTGTCCGCCGCAGATTCTCGCGGTGAGTCCAGCGTTGGCAACGCTACCTTGTGTTTATTATTGTGTAAAAATTTTTAGCGTGTTAATCACAAATGATGTGTAATGATTCGGCTGATGATATCGTCGTTCTAAAAGCAGGTAAATAAACTTGTGTTGTTTGATTCGTGCCGACTGTGTCAACTGTGTCCGTTCACTCCAAGAGCATGGTGCTCTCTCCATGTGAGACCCCACAAGTGGTATTGTTGACAGGCACATGCCCACTGTGTTAATGTTTGATGAACTAGGGCACAAAGAGGTAGGTTCGTTGCACTGCAGGCTGCGAAAATACAGCTGTCATATCACCAGTATGAATTACAAACAAGAAACAAACGTTTAGGCAACATCATAGGATGATCCACAGTATAACTGCAATGAATACACAGAACTACACATACAGTGCACAATGCAACACAGCAGTAGTTGGCTCAACACTTGACTCCAGCATGAACCAAACAGAGAAGTGTTTGTACGTTTTCTTTCCCGCCTTCGCACAAATTTTCAACTGCACACTTCACATCACTCTTTCACAAAAAAAGTCACAGACTTGCCGCAAAAACGTAGCAATGAACGTGACAGCAACAAATTCGAAGGTTGCGAGCACAATAGAACGCAGATTGACACGTGCCACACGTTTCTCAAGCACAAAATGCGCACAAAACGTACTCACGTGCACAGAAGCACGCGAATAAGCATCTCAGTTGTTACTTCACTGAGTATGAAAAGCATGCGCTTTTCGCAAACGCATGCTTTTCGCAAAAAA